AGGAGGAGGAGGAGGAGGAGGAGGAGAGGCAGACAGAAGAAGAGAAGGGAGGAGGAGGAGGAGGAGGAGGAGGAGGAGGAGGAGGAGGAGGAGGAGGAGGAGGAGAAAAAAAAGAAGAAGAAGAAGAAGAAGAAAAAGAAGAAGAAGAAGAAGAAGAAGAAGAAGAAGAAGAAGAAGAAGAAGAAGAAGAAGAAGAAGAAGAAGAAGAAGAAGAAGAAGAAGAAGAAGAAGAAGAAGAAGAAGAAGAAGAAGAAGAAGAAGAAGAAGAAGAAGAAGAAGAAGAAGAAGAAGAAGAAGAAGAAGAAGAAGAAGAAGAAGAAGAAGAAGAAGAAGAAGAAGAAGAAGAAGAAGAAGAAGAAGAAGAAGAAGAAGAAGAAGAAGAAGAAGAAGAAGAAGAAGAAGAAGAAGAAGAAGAAGAAGAAGAAGAAGAAGAAGAAGAAGAAGAAGAAGAAGAAGAAGAAGAAGAAGAAGAAGAAGAAGAAGAAGAAGAAGAAGAAGAAGAAGAAGAAGAAGAAGAAGAAGAAGAAGAAGAAGAAGAAGAAGAAGAAGAAGAAGAAGATTCTTCGATGCTGTTTCGTCCTGTGAAGACGGTGTTGTCGTCACAGTCCTAAATCAGCCTTCTTGATCTTAGTCCTGAATTTGGAAGACAGTGCCTCTCAGTAGAGGAAGAAACATTTCCATGGACTCCTTGCATGCCTTGAGCTGTTACTTTTGCGGGAAGGAAACGATTCTGTAGATCTGACAGTAAAATGCGTCCGTCTTGAGCAGGGCTAGTGTCTCGAGGCTGTCTTATTCTTTGTCTAGTTAAGTAGTATGCCCGACATTTCCAGAGTGCTAAAAGTATTTGGATTGTTTAAGAAATAGTAGAGGCACTGAAATGCAGCCGTCTTGCGGCTTCTCGGACAAAATTTTCGCCTTGAACTCGGCAGAGGTAAAAATTGCGGTCAGCTTCGCTAAACGTTGAGGCATGGTGTAATTTTAAAAAAAAAGAAAAAAAGAAAGAAGTTTTCATTGATTCCCCCCCCCCCTCCAAAAAAGCAACAACCACAAACAAACTAACAAACAAACTCATGTCTTTTGTGTGGAAAGAGCTACTTACGTATTACCTTCCAAGTAAATAGGCCCACCGTTCTTTTTATTGGATACATTGTAGCCTTTTTAACGTGTTGTATTTTCTATCAAGTATCTATAGCCCATTTCTCTCAACAATTAGAAAAAAATCTCTTACTATTGTTTTACACCTCAAATCTGAAGCGCTTATAATGTCTGTGTTGCAAATTCAGTAAAATTCTTGCTAAAACTAAAACACTCATCGTTACCACAGGACATGACATAATTATTTGGATAAATGCTTCAAAAACAATACAACCCGTATTACTTTTTTTAATTAAGTGTAGGCCTATACATTATAATAGGCCCACAATGTAGCCTAGGACTTGAGAATATAAGTAAAATTTTATTATACATAGACACTTAAGCATAGCCTAAATAAGCTATCTCGCACTTAGCCAATATGTCGATTTTTTTTCTTTTTGCCAGAATCATCATTGAAACGTTCACTTTTCCTTGAAAATTTCATTTCGTGGTTTATATTATCATATTAAATAAATTGAAAAACAAACAAAACAAACAACAACAACAACAAAATAAAATAAGTCCATGAATTGGGCCCAAGTTCCCTATTTCATATATTACGTGGACCTCAAGTGCCTCAGCAGTATATATAGCCTGCTTATAGCATAAACTTGTATGGTACCGGTATTACAAACACAAATAGGTCTTCGGTGTACTTTTGTTTCTACTATTGCATGTATAACTAAAGGTTCTTTGTGGGTGGTTGGCGGGTGCTCTGGTGTGGTATGCTTCTTCTTTCCTCTCAAACATCTATCATCCTTTTCTCCCCTTCTTCTTTTCTTATGTTTGTTACTCTCTTGTAACCCTCTAATCGTCTGGTGCTCATATGACCTTATGCAGTTGCGAGTGCCGTAAAACCTTACTAAAACTAAAACTAAAAAAGTGTTCTTTGTTAAATATGATATTCTAAATCATGCACTCTGGGGTACATGTATTTCTGGTTCAATAATATGGATGTGCACCATTTGACTCAAATTGAGCAAAATGAGGGGAGAAAGGTGGTACCAGAATAATAATTCTGATGCTGCGTGCACTCGACTATGGTGAGACTAGTAAACTGCCCTTCATTTTCGTGGTATACCTGACCCTAACCCCAACGATGCCTAGACACCATAGGGTGATGGTGAGGCGTTATACGGGTGCCCATGGGAGATCAGGTCGTGTTGGATCGGGTCGGTTTGTTAGCCAGATTGAGGGCGCAAAGCGGCCATTGTGGCACCACCCGGTCACATCCGACTCAACGCCTCCCATTGGGGGATCGGGTCTGGTCGGAGCGGTAATTGTTAGCCTGATTGAGGGCGCAAAGCGGCTATAGTGGCACAAGCCTATCGCACCCGACTCGCTGAGTAAAAAACAAACGCTTTTTTTTCAGACGAGGAAGCAGGCGATCATCCCAACCCGACCAGACCTTATTCCCCAATGGGCACCCCGAATTAAAAAAAAAAGCAAACGCTGTTTTCAGGCGACAAGTCGGGCGATCGACCTACCCGACCTGACCCGATCTCATCCTCAATTACAATACCTAACTAGACCTCCGATGATGCCTAGGCTATGGTTTGCATGCGTCGACATCGCCTAGGCCTATTGGGGGATGGACAAACTGATCGCCTGATTGGTCGCTTGAAAACAAGAGGGCGAAGAGCGGCGGCCATGACAGTGAACAATCTAGGCTAGGAGTACAAGTCTATGGTTCATTGTGCTAGCAGACTGAAAACAGAACCCTTTGTTGACGTTAATTATAGCTTCTCTCTTTTTTCTTCTCTTTGGAGAGAGATTCTAATTGCTTTGTCATTTTACTCTGCTGATGATCATTTTTATAGTGAATATTCCTAGCTCTAGGCCTGTTTCCATCCCTCCTCCTTTTTTTCGGGATTTGCATTTTTACGACTTTAGGGTGTTTTTTTTTTCCGGCACATGGGAATTCCCAAAGACGGAATCTTGTAAAAGGCGCGTCAAGTTGGAGAATCAGAGGAATACTACTGCATGTAGATCTGCTGACTTTGTTTTTTTCTGACAAGGGATAGGCTATTATTCGTCAAACATTTAGTGCTTTTTCTCTAGATCTAGATCTAGCAGTGTAAACACATGCTGGAGGAGTACATTGACTTCTGACTTCTCACGATCACAGTGCTTTCTTTTCAAGGCAAGCTGGAGGTGTCTCTGTCTGCTGACGACACCCCATCCTTACCTTACACACTGTCCCCGCTGGCCACATTCATTAATCAGTTTCAGCGATTTCTCTCGTGTCGTATGTTGCCAGAAGCTGTATGAATGGATACTCCAAACCCAAACAATGCTGAAAGCAAGACTGAAGCTCAAGATATTTTCAAAGGGGTCACCTACTATATTGTTGGAGACATCAGTTCCAAGGTATAAACTTAGTTTAGTTTAGTCTTCTTATGGACGAGGTGCCCGTTGCGGATGGGGTCGGGTCGGGGGCGATGGCCCCACTCGTTGCTTGAAAACAAACACTTTTGTTTTTGAGGCAACGAGTCGGGTGCAATCAGCTTGTTGTGCCATGATAGCCGCTTTGCGCCCTCAGTCTGGCTAGCAAACCGTCCGACCTGACCCGATCCTCCAATAATAGGCACACCGTAATAAGCCGTAATAAATTAGAATTCTAAGATGTAGGCTAGGATTTGTTTTTAGGTTGAGTGTACAGTTGATGCTTACTCTCAATTCACCTAGTGAAAGTGAGCTAATTGTTAGAGGCTTGTTTGTCAACTTACAAAGATTGGCATCATATCATGCTGATATCTTTCTTAGACAAACTGAAACCAGGCTTCTTTCCCAAGTCAAAAAGTGAAAATTGCTTGCGGAGGTCTCCAGACTAATTTGATTAGCTGATTAGCATCTACTGGGACAAGTGTCTGTTCAAGCTCCCGTGTATTCGGACACGTGTGCCCCTAGCATGAATATATATGTACCTTTTGAGTCTTTTTTTTTGGAAGTGGCTATTCTCATCCGGGGTGAGAATAGAAAAACGATCTACCTCTCACCCCAGGTGAGAATTGCCAGCGTAGGCTATTCTCACCCGGTGCGAAACAAGACCTGCTTTTCCTCATTTTGGAATACTGTCTATCGGTGTGGATGATCCAATTGATAAAAGCCAAGAAAAAATTACGTTATAGCACAAAAGTAAGCTAATTTGATCGTCTTCAAAGAGATGCTATGGCTATTTCACTGTTCGAATCGAGCCGAACTACGCGGGTCGCCATTTTGTTTTGCCCGGAAGTTCTCGCAAGATCTACTCCTCCCCTATCTCTCTCTCTCTGTCTCTTTCTGAATATAATATACTGTCTATCGGTGTGGACGATCAAATTGACCAAAACAAAGTTAAAAAATGATGTTAAAACACAAAAGTAAATTAATTTGGTTGTCTACAAAGATGCTACAGCTATTTAACTTTTCGAATCGAGCCGAACTACGCGGGTCGCCATTTTGTTTTGACCGGAAGTTCTCGCGCTACTCCTCTCTCTCTGTCTTTCTCTCTCTCCACTGCCCACAGACAAAATTGTACGCTTTTAGTAGGCTAGGCTACAGTTGTAATGGAACGTTTGTTCACGACACAGAATTCTACAATGTTTCTGTTATCGCAGTGTAGAATTCTGTGGTTTAGGGTGAACGCAAAATTTGTTGGCCTAGATCTAGATCTAGGCTATAACGGTGAACGCGCACCGGGTGAGAATAGCCAAAAGACTCGCCTGCACTATTCTCATCCCGGGTGAGAATAGAGGTGGCCTTTTTTTTCTTTATAATGGCGTGCTTCTCTTTTTTTTTTTGACGAATGCATCTTTGCAGTTTTCTTAAAATTGCTTGCATTCTATTTTTTTATTTATAGAATGATGGGATTTTTGGTTAATCTAGGTATTAGTTTCATGAACAGCACGCCCTTGTAGACACTACAACTACAAGGGAGATTCCCGGCCCCGAGAGAGAAGAGCTAACCGGGAAATGCGCCATTGGTGTTTGAGGGTGCTGAAAACCAATCTCTACTGGAAATGACCCTAGGGAGCCAGGGCTGAGGCTCCACAGGATCGTATCCGAATAATTACGGGAGCCTGGAGGGACCCGTGTCCGTATATATATATCACACCGAATTTGATTATAACTGGGCTGCTTGATGAGATCATGAACCTATGACTATTCATTTTCAAGTTTGATGGTGACGAGGCACTGACTTGCACAGTATTAATAAAACTTATTCAAGTCTTATAATTTTACTTTCTAGCTCTGTAAACTGCACTCTGCATTCCAAAGGCAGGGAAGTTTAAAAAACATAGTAGGGAAAACTGACTTGAGGCGCAGGGTGTGTAAAACTAATTAAAGGAAACTTTTCCTGCGACAATCAGATCAAAGAGTGGTGAAAGTGTTTTGGACACTGTGGTAATGCTGTGCCACAAAGAAGAAGGTCGTCAGCTATCCGTCCTTCTGGTTCTGCCTTTCTAAGTATAGTGCAACGGGTCCTACCATTTCAAACTTGTCAACTCAGTAGAGGTACCATTTAACTGTGTGACTGCGATTTAATGATGTTTGAGTATGGAGACTTGCATGATACTGTGGGTCGTGGACTCCCAACCAGTACTCTCTCTTGCATGATGCTGTGGGTCGTGGACTCCCAACCAGTAGTAAAGTACCACTAAACTTTTAAATGTGTTCTTTTACTATCCTGTTTATATTTCTTCTTCTTCCTTGAACTGCCTGTTTCAGGGAATAATAACATTGACTGTAATAATATCATGAACAATTAAAAACTAACTTACATTTTGTTTCATCATCCCAGGTGACCCAACTGTTGGACAGATATGGAGCCAAGCGTGATTCCTATCTCAGCGAGATGGTTAGCCATGTTATTGCTGACACTATGTCGGATGACTACTCTGAGGCTAAAGAATTGTTTGAGTTGCCGATTGTTGCAGTAAGTTATTTGTATTATACCTTTTTAAAAATAGAAAACATTGATATTGGATTATTTTATTTCTTATAACTTATTATAATATTATAAGTTCAGTTTTATGTTTGCATTAAAAACATGGTTTATTTTCAAATTTCCTGCGAAATAATGTTTCAATTCATCTTGACGTTGACGACTGAGAAAAGCCTGTCAGACTATCTGGCATGTAGGGATGTAGTTGGGAATTATAGTCGAACCTGCTCTAACGATCACCTGTCCAAGATGAAATCACTTTTACACTTCACACTAAATATATTTTAATTTTAGGTCTGTGTGTTTCGCATTGTTCATGCAGTGCATGTTGTATTTAATTATTTAGGTACCAGTCATCCTTCTCTTGACTCTTGCCTTCCCTCACCATTTTGACTTATAATTAAACTTTTGTTCTATTCTTTATCCACAGAGTGACTGGGTCGTGTTGTCAGTGTACTGTGGGGTGCAACTCCCGTATCCTTTTCTCAACTTTGTGTTGAATTGATTCAAGTGTGAGATTGGTCTGAAAAAATAATGCCTTTCGAGCCTATAGCTTTTTACTGTAAAATTTCATATTATGTGTATATTATATATATCGTCATCCAGCTGTTCAAATGTACTACTAAGCGGCAAGCCCAATATGTTGAATATTAAAGAAAAATTAGTTTCTTAATTTGTGGTAGTGGATAATAGGACTTATAGGTTGCCTGTACTGGAGAAATGTTTTGTTGAAATTCAAATTCTAAATGTTGAAAAAAGCAAGGAAAATTACATATAATGAAATGTGGGTACAATAAAAATTGTAAGAAAAATGAAACAGTTTTTTCTCTCTCCTGAAAAATTTGCTTTCTGGGCTTAGAACAGTTGTACTCAGATGTCGACATGTTGCACTGATGCTGTTGTTCATATATGGGAAATGGAGGTACTGCTTGATGATTGTTTCAGTTTATTTTCCTGAGAATTGCTTTGTTCTTAGGAAGTTTAATTTGTCATTGAATTGTCTTATTTTTGTACAACCAGCTATTGTTTGACAAAGAGGGAGAGAGTGATAGAGGAAAAGCTAACACAGAGATTGGGATCTGTTCTGTACTTTCATATTGTTATCCTTGACGCTTTCTCAGGAAAGAGGCTTTTGCTTTAGAAGGGAGGATTTTTTCCGACATTGTTGCTTGCCCGTTTGAGGTGAGTCTCAGTGTCTTTTCTTTGAAATAAAGTACACAAATGTTCTTTTGAGATGTTGCTCTTGAATGCTGTGCTGAATTTTTTTTATGTAGGTGGTTGGTGGGTGCTCTGGTGTGGTTTGCTTCTTCTTAAGTGCCATAAAACTTTTAATAAAACTGAATAAATGAGATATTGTTAATAACAATTTTAAAAAATCATCCATAAAATCGTTGTTTGTAAGATTTAGCCCGTGGTTAAAAATAATATCTGGATGGATGAATTTAAACAGATATTTTATTTTTCATGTATGCTGTCAACTCGATCCTTTTCAGCTGTCAAAAGAAGACGCAGAATCGCTGTGGTGCATGATAACGTACCATGGTGGGAAGTGTCAGCTTCACCTGGACGATAAAGTTACTCACTTGATTACTGCTGCCAGTGAAGGGGTGAGTGAGCTGGAGCAGCAAAATGTTCACATTTGTTTGTGCTTTTTGTACTGACTATTGACTCTTTGTGGATATAAGTACACGATGTAATTTCATACCATTATGTAGAAAAACATTTAGTACGCTTTTCAGGGTCTGAGATAGGCAGTTGGTTTCCATGTATCAGAAAATATGTATTCTACGTTTTCTAGTATTGCTCCTCGCGGGCTTGCTGAAGCTGAGGAAATATTTTGAATCTCAAAACCGGATCTGTGAATAATAATAAATAATAATAATAATAATAGATAGCATTTGTATAGCACATATCCCCGCTCAACAGCAGGCTCTATGCGCTTTACACTATATTATTACCCCAGCAGACCATAGAACACTCCGAAACATTCTCAGCTTCCCGGGAAGCATATAGTGCAAGCAGCTGATTAAGCGCTCAAACACTAACAAACTGACAAGATCTTTCGCTGTCTATA